GAAAAAAATCTAAATATTTGATTTCCCATAGAAATTTAACATTGAGTGATTTTAAACAAAACATTATGTTACAATGTCTTCACAACTACATTCTCTTTAATCATCAGTACAGGACAAACCTGCATTTTTTTCCTGTCAATCCTAAGACAAATTCACCACATCTAACCTGTCCATGAGATAAACACTGACTCCTGTGCCGCAGCCCAGCTTCTTCATGAAAGGTGAAGATGGGATGTTGATGGGGGTCCCACCATCACTACCAAAGCTCTTCACTCTACAGTTTTTAGGGGTCTTGAATGTGTTACTGGAGCTCATTCTGTCAAAGAAAAAACAAAAACAAACAAACAAAAAAAAACAGTGACAACATCAGACTGACTGACATCCATCATTTAACTTTTTCTTCTTTACTTCCAATATACAAAAGTACAAAGATTCATCCTTATTACTTATTTGGAAAAATGACATTGAGGAAGCAACAAAATGAAGCACAGAAAACAATAACAACACATGACATATTTGAAAGGGAGTGGGAGCTACCGAGATTAGCTTCGGAGCTAAGCCTATGTTCAAGGCAAAACTCACCATTTGAAAAGGTGACTGTGTTAACGGCTATAAACCGATTTTTCACATCGATAATTGCATCTGTAGGAAGCTATTTTTTTGATAATTTACATGTAACATGTTACATGAAAATGGCGGCGTCAACGTACTGTAGCTGCCAAACGTCAAACGTCGTTCAAAATGCAGGAACTGTCACTACAAGAGCCGCGATACAACTGTTGACCAACGACACTGAAGTCAGTGCAGGTAAAAAGTTCAAATGTTTGAGGAAAATTACCTGATTTATTTGTACTTCCTCACGTAACAACAAACTGACAACAATGTTCCGGCGCCCAATGCTTGAAATGCTTCTTCTTGTGAAATATTCAGGACAGTTGCTGTTGCATTACTGCCACCTAGCGTCTTGGGGTCGCAGTAGCTCCTGAAAGTTACACATATGTCCCACGAGTCATTTTTAAAGAGTAAAACAATAATTCACTGAACAAATCCACGTGTCCTGACGTGAATTTAAGTGGCGTTGTTACTGTTCTTGACAAATAAAATAAAACGTTTTTATATTACATCTTTTAGGTGGGAAAAAACGCAAGATCGACAAAATAAAACTGTAGTTTACGTTTTTAAAATGCCAAGAAAGGAATCAGACATAAATTCACCGTCAGCAGGATGTCTGCAGTGACTTCAAAATCGTAAAACACGTTGGTAACGTTTTCATATTATCGTTGTAGTACAGACATTTTGCCAGCTGAGGTCACTCTTGTCACTCAATCGGTATTATGTTTTCAGACGCAGGTGGCAAAATATACATTATTGTTTTTTAAAGTTACAAAAAATACACTGAGGCTATTTGTTTTTTATAATTGTGTGTGGTGCTACATTTTTATATGATATAATAAAGATATGATCACTTTCATATTGACATCACATAATCTTTTCTTCTGTTTCTGTTGAGACAGACAATACCAAGAACAATGAATAATAGCAGTGGATGGATGGATGCACAGAGGGATGGATGTTCTGACCTTAATGCTCTGCTTTGTTCGTGCCACATTTAGAATGACCACAGAGATTCTGCAGATGTCCACAGCCCTGTCTCCTCACTTCGTGCAGGGACAAAACGTTTCTTTATGATGAAGAGGATCAGGAATGTGGTCTGGACACATATGGACGTGGAGGCAACAACAGGGACCGTGGCCTTGCCTCCGTCTCTGCCCATTTCTTGTTTCCCCCGAAGACAAATGAGCTCATGTTTGAGGGCTCTGCTGCTGCAGCCACATGTTTTGCAGCTGCTTTGAAAGACTCTGGTCCGGCCTCAGGGAAACACCCAGAGAAAAACAGGATGCCAACAAGGACCGAGATGTGCATTAACTTAATTTTTCATGTCATCAACATTAATCTTTTAAAGCTAACGCAGGAGCGGAGTTCATCCAGATCGACGGAGGAATCACTTCTTCAACTGGCATCAAAACAATAGGCTCTCATTTTAGTGTTGTTTTTTTTATTACAAAACAATAGGCTCTCATTTTAGTGTTGATTTTTTTTTTATTATTTCAAATCTATCGTTCCTTTTTGTAAAATCATTCTCCTAAACGATTAAACGTTTCCTAGGACTGGCCCACCCACTGGTCCGATACTAAAAGTCAAATTAATGAGCTTAAAAGTAGTTAAGAAATGCTGTTAAATGAACTATTAAAGCTATACATTTGTCATCTCAAAGTAGCCAAGACAAAGGTTAAGATGTAGCTTGGACACAGCTAGAAATTCAAACTATTTAATGTGATTTAAATGACCTCAATCTATTCTAAAGGTAAAAAAATATATTAGAAGAATTCATTTCTCTCTGTGTGAAAGATTCTTTCATTTCAATTTTGATTCTGAGAGGAAAAATAGTTCACTTTTTCTGTCGATTGGGACGTGAACAGACAACCATCCAACCACATCACGTCACCTCTAGGTCATAGGGTTCATTCTACAGATTAATAATAAATATTCCTTGATAAGTTCATTTCCAAACAATAGATATTTTTACCATATGAAATCCCATACATTATCCCTGCAGTGCACATCTGGGACATGACCCGTCATTTGAGAAACACAGAACTAGGTGAACCTCGCTAATGTGAGCTCAATCTGTTCTGACATGTCGACCACGTGTTAACAGTGTGTGTTCCTCCCCCTCCGTCCCTGACAACGACAACGCTGTGACGACTGGTTGAAACAAACGCTCGTTTTATTATGTCAGCAGTGCGTATACGACATAGTAGTGGTACAAAAAAAACAGGTAGTAAAAATGACAATCCATTGTCCTACGTTAAAGCACATGACATGATCATGTCTACTGTATAGGATTTCTCCGGAGCCCTTACTGTCAGCGTCATAGAAAACACTGCGCGACACTGAGTCGTGTTGGACAGAACTTGGTATAAAAAACAAATCTCATATTTAAGAGCACTTCCTTTACAAATGTCTAACGGCCTTTGACCTCGTGAGGCTGGAGTCAGAGCGGCCTCTGACCAATCAGTACATGACGTCACCACCTGCTGACCTCTGCCCTCGCCTGACGGTCACTGGGATTGGACCCAGCCGGAGTTACTGTTGGAGTAGATCTAAACTGTGCAAACGATCAAATGTCCAACGGTTGACTTTATAACGTCGTAACGTTCTGTGTTTCTGTTTGTTGTTGTTTTGGTCTCTCAGTGGTGACAATGACAAATATTTACAGGTGTTTCTTTTTTTTTAAAATCTAATCAACAAAGTGATGATTTGCATAATTGACTGTAGCTGCTCTAGTCAAGAGTGAAGTGTGAGGATGGTGATTGGATCATGTGATTTGGTGATATTCTTCATAAAGACAATTTCAAAATCATACAATAAAGGTGAGTTCTTCAGTCGACATCACAGGAAAAAAAAGTAAAAAAAAAAGAGCTCATTTTTTACTTCTTTCTAAGTCAGCGTTCACACCTTCCCTTTTCTTGAAATTTCCTTCTCCTTTTCCTCCCATCGTCTGGTTTCCTCTGGAAGTGTTGTGGTTTAAAACAACAGAATGATCTTCAAACACTCAGGCACTTCAATGTGAAGAGGAGAAAAAAAAGATCGTGTCGTGGCTGTGGTGGCAGGAAACATCAAACTGGAGTTTGTTTTTCTTTTTCTGTGGAACTTCCTGTTCCCACCATCAGTTCTTGATACTACTGCCTTCGACAGAGACGCACCTGAAGCGGTAGATTGTGTTTACGATCGACACTGGAAACATTTACACAGACGACACAAGAAAAAAAAAAAGGGAATTGAACCGCAGCCCTCCTCAGGGAAACTGTTGGTCTGGTGCATTTGCCAAATATTTAAGGAGCACTTCATCGTTGACATCTAAATCATGACTGGGTGAAGAGACGGTTTCCAGCGTTGGCCTGAGCCCAAACTGTGGTTTGGTGAACTCTGAAGGAGGGACCTGAGCCAGGACTCCTGGGAGGTACCAGCTGCTGGACCATGGGGGACGGGGGGACGGGGGGACTATGAAGATGAAGACACACTGAGAGACCCACGTGTATTCCTATTACTCCTCTGCTTTTCTCTCTCTCTCTTCTCCTCATCATCACTTCATCCATCAACTCCACTGACTCCGGCTCAGTTACGTTGTTAGTAACTATTAGCTGCATTAGACGATGGTTTAACAGGAAAAAAACAAACAAACAAACAATCACTCTCACCAGACAGAACACCTACAGGATCAGAGGTGAACTGCAGCGTGTTGAACTAAACCGAGGGTTGAAGAACCTACAGCACGACCAGAAACAGTCGCTGCTCTGCCAATGCTGACATGTTTTACTGCACTTTTTACTCATCTTGTTTCACAGTCAAATCCCTCTCCCAAAACTGCAGTAAAAGCCCTTCCAGCTGAAGAACAAACCCTCGTGCCCTTTGGCACAGGCCAAACCTGGTAAACATCCCAAACCTGCTTCAGTTCCCTTCAGATCCCAGATGGTCTCGATGAGTCAGTCCCATATTTTTACACCAATGAAGGGGAAGCTAATTCATGTGGTGGTCAACTGAGACCACGCCCTCATATTTAGATCCTTAGGTTCTCCTGAAGTTCACACTAATCTTCATTTGATAAATTACCACATTGAGTGTCTTTACACTGGCCTGATACTTCATTCAAGTACTTGTACTTTATAATACAGTACAGGTCCAGTGACCTTTTTTAGCGGCTTCTCATTAAAACCTGCTTCTCATTGGTCGACTGGTTTTGGTTTCTTTGTTTATATTAATGATTATAAACTCATCTACTTTTGCAGCCACTTATTTCAAAGACACGGCCGTGGATCAGAGTTCAGACCGAGTCTCTCAGTGTGTTTCATCGTTATAGTTCCACATGGATCCAACAGAAGTTTCCTCTAATCATTTGGTTCAATGATTTCATGTTTTTTTAGCTTTAGGTTTTTTGTTAATCATTAACTGTGAAAATATCCTTGACTACACGCAGGAAATTGTCAAGAGAGTAACGCGGAAGGACTGTTTGGCCACCAGGGGGCGACTAATATTATTTAGAGTAAAAACAGACTGTAAATCACAGATGAATCAGCACTGACGGCTCTCAGCGTCCAATAAGAGCTTGGCGGTGGTTGATGTCTGTGAATCTATAGTTTATTTAAAGTTTAGTCAAGGCTAAAAAAGTAGGACTTTGAGGTAACCCTCCTGGATCTTTGAGTCTCCTCCAGCTTTGAACCTGAACATCAAGGCCATCAACCACCTGACAAACTGCTGAGTAACTGAGTAAATATATGATAAAGCAGCAGAGTGTGAAGGCACAGCTGTTCCTCCATAATACAGAGCAAAGCGACAGCTTGTAAATTCAAATCATCCTCCATCTCTGACACACACTGACTTTGACTTTGATTTCATCATGTGCCATTGAACTTTTTTTTTTTAACCTCAGAGACGGCGGCCTAAAGACAAAGCATTTCCTGGATCAGTTTGACGCCACACTGTGAAAAAAAAACCAACAAAAACAACCAGGGACTTCAGTCCAGTCTCTGAGGTCAACCTCGCCTTTCTATAAAAGCTGACCTCTGAACCTTCACTGAAGACACGACCCCAGTGATCCAGTCCCGATGAAGAGTCCTGTTGTGTGGTTGAGCCTCAGCGTAGCATCGTTCTCTGTGGAGTCATTAAAAACAGAGGTTTGTTGCTCCGCTCTTCATCTTCAGTCCAGGGCCTGAAAAAGTCAATAAGGAGAGCCAGTAGGAGGTGGCGCCCCCTGCAGCGTCTGGAGGCACCGTGATGAAGAGGATGTGCAGCTGCTGCACCAGGATCTTCACAGTCTTAGACGATGCAGGTGACACCAGCGTCCTCCACGTGGCCACAGTTGGTTTTACCCCAACCTGAAAAGCTGCACTGGTGGATGGTGTCCTCACTTCCTGTACACGCGACGTCATCCATCCAGATCAGCCCAGTACCTGCACACAAACAAGGACAACGTCAACCATTCCACCCTCATTTCCTCATTCTCCACGTTTGGATTCGTTTCTCCTCCTCGTTCACAAATCTCCGTTTTTGGAAATGTTCTGTTCTGTCTCGGTCTCTGGGGTCCACGAGGAAATCTGGGGGAAATTTTTCAAGTATCCCACAGCACTTTATCCAAACAAGAACAACAACAACTCCACACTCGGGAGGTTTGGCTGTTTGTTGGAAGAATCAACAGTTCACAGCCTCAGCAGAGCCGTGATGGGGAGAGTGAGGGAGGGAGAGGGAGGGTGAGGGGACAGCCGTGATGGGGAGAGTGAGGGAGGGAGGGGGGGGCAGAGAGAGAGGGAGAGAGCTAATACCAGCAGTGACCACAGGGAGAATGAAACAAACAAACAAAAAAGCATGAACTGCATGAACATTGACCTGGAGTGTAATCACAGTCACAGGTGATGATGCCACGCCCACTGCCTGGAGCTAAATATTGTTTTGTACGGTGACTTTCAAACAGAAACCGTTCTGTGTGACCTCTGTGTGACCTTAATGTTTTAATGTAGGATTCAAAACACACAAACTGGACACAGTTGATGTTCCGTCGTTCCTAGTTCAACACAGGAGTTTCTGGACCGTTTTAGGTAAGGGAGGGGTGAGCAGAGGAGTCCACCGTTTCCCTCCACTAGAGGTCACGTCCCAGATATTTTGGGTTTTCGTGCTGATCCTAAAGAGAAGTTCTGCAGCCAAACATCAGAATTCAATTTCCACATCTGGACGCGGACGGCAGCCGTCGTCCAACTTCTCGCTGCGATGACTCACGCGTGCATCACTTTCCTCCTCCTCAGTGTCAAAGTGATGCAAACGCAGCCAGTGAGGCTGAACATGTTGCCTGTCCAGGAGCATCAGTCACAGAGAGGAAGAATTCAAACATACGTGCAAAAAAACAAATGCGGCCTGACGCTGTTTTCCGTCTACAGCGTCCGCACGCACGCTGAAGCTGTGATGTCTTTCGCAAATGTGTGTGTCCCTCGGCAGAAATGGGGGTGAGTGGGTTTGTTTTGCCTCAAAGCTGGAATTCTCACGGTAACAAAATCTTTAGAACGCAACTGGAGAGAGGGAACTGACAGCAGCGCCTTCTCCAATCAACAGACGGAGGAAGGTCGATCTGTGGGAGTCGGACGGTCGTGATTGAGACAGAGAGAACTCCCTGTGCTTCCTCGCTGACTCTGGATCAGATAATAAAGACATGCGGTCATAAAAAAAAAAAAAACTGGGCCCAGCTGCTGAGCAGAACCTTCGGGCCTTGTTGTTTTTCTCTACAAACTTTGGTTCCTGTTTGTGAGACACTGAATCACTGCTGCGTCCCCGAGCCCTCAGCGCCGGTCGGCCTCAGCTCTGAAGTGAGAACCAGGTGAAACTGTTGGTGAGTCGCTGCTCGTCCAGGCTGACGGCTTCACGGCTGCAGGGTCTGAAGGACCTCGTTTGTGAGAAGAGAAACCGCGGACGAGTTCAAAGCATCTGGAGCCTCGTTAAAAAAAAACATGGAGATAAAACTGCAGCTCTTCTCCTGCGCTCTGCTCTAAATCACAGCCATTCGTCACTCAGTGACACTGAGCGACAGGAGCTGGAGGTCAGAGGTCAGACGTTATGGAGCTGGAAAGTGATGTTTCACAGAACACGCTCAAAGTTAAAACTCTGTTCTGTGTTGCTTTGAAGTAGGGGTGTCAAATATATGGCCAGCGGGCCAAACTGACCAGCTCGGGCAATTTTAGAAAATAAAAAAAATTATACACTTCATGTTTCTTCTTATAAATCAAAAGTGACCAGAATGACGCTGCTTTAAACGAAAAACTAAACAGTAAATGTTGAAGGGATTATTTACAGGTTTAAGAGCTCTGTTCTGATTGGCTGTTTATGGTACCTCTTCATTTTCAATGGTAATAAATGGTAGTTTTGATGATTATAGTTAACATCGGGAATGAAGTTTGTCAGTTAAAATAACGCCGTAGAGTCGTACTGTCTGCAAATGGTTCAAACACATCAGTGTAATTTACTGTTGCTCTAACAGGGATTATCATCAACCGTTTGTTGACAAGTTTGCACACGTGTTCTTGTATTATTTACACATGTTCTTTTTGAGTTCCTACAGAAAGTTTGCACTGTTCAATTCAAACCTGACTGTGCGGTACGTGTCCCATCCAATGACAGACGTTCATGTGGACAGCCGTCCTCTGACGGTGATATCACTGTTGTCCAACTTTGACTCATCATTTGGACAAACAGGACACGGCTCTGCGTCATTCGCTGCAGTTTTCGCTGTGATATTGGAAGCACATTTTGGCGGCGTGAGAAATGGACCTAATAAAAAAGCCGTTTCACAAACAAACACGGGACAGCGTTTCCATCCATGTGTTTCCTGTTGAGTTGCTCCACAGAGGGAGAAACTGGAGGATTACGGCACGGAGGTTTGGAAAGTTGTACGTTTTGGCATGTAAAATAATAAAAAATAAAAAATAATATATATGTATATATATTTTAAGAACAGGTGTTGGGTTTAGGAACTGGATTTTCTTCGATGGCGAGGCTCAAAGGAAGCAACAACAGATCAAAACAAATACAAGGGTCTGAAGTTTTTGGGGATTTCTGGAGGCTTTAGATCCTCACTGGATATAAAACCTCCCAGGCTAATAAAACATGACTCATTTATATCTGTAAAACCTAAAAGCTTCGATCTAACCAAATCTCAGTCCAAAGTCACCGCCTATTTCAACCCTTTCTCATAAAACATTTACGAATATGATAATAATATAATTGGAAAACTGAGAAATGTTAAAAACAAAGGTAGAAATTTTAACTATTTATAATTTACCTTCAAACATTATAATTCCATTTTTACCTTATTTAAAGGGTGAATTATGACTAAAAATCCTAGATCTTCTTCCAACATTTATCAATTCACAAAAGGCTGTAAAAACTGGGCCCAGGCAGGAGACCTCTGATCCAATACAATACATAACATTCACATAAAATGGTGTCATATATTTCTATATTTTATTTATTTATTTTTAATAATAAGTGTCTGATTTGGTGCATATGACCTAGAAGAGGTCTAGTGCAGGGGTGGACAAACTAAGGCCCTGGGGCCGGATGTGGCCCGTTCAGCTTTTTAATCTGGCTCACCAAACTTTTCCAAATTATATAATTTATATATATTATTATTATACTTCTGTCATTTCCCTGCAATATCCACATTTTCCCAATAGATGGCGCAGTAAATGACAAAAGGAATTTAGTATTTCTAGCCTTTATGCATGACTTTTTCATGTCATTTATCTTAGTTCACACGAACGACGCGGCCCTCCCTGTTCAATTCTAGGACAACTGTGGCCCGCGAGTCAAAAAGTTTAGCCCACGCCTGGTCTAGCGTGTTGTGCAGATGGCGGAGATGAGGTCACAGCAGTAGCCCAGTGGCGTGCTGTCGTACATGAGCCTCAGCTGTTCTGCTGCTGCTGCTGCTTCTCTGGCTGCTTTACTGTGATGGACACGGACCTTTAAACTGTTTACTCAACACGACTCACAGTACAGTTGGTGTTGCGTTCAGGTCCAAGGTAACATCTGTTCACTGCAGCGTTACAACACTTCTCACATACTAAGTGTTGGACCAGAAAAATGAAAGTCAAGTGGTCACACCCAGAGACGAATTTCCACAGAATGACTGTGAGTCAGGGGCTGAACTTGTTGCCGTTGGTAAAAAAAAAAAAAAAAAATTTAATGAAACCCCCTCTCCCCGACATAAAACTAGTTAGAACTGCCCTGGAGGTTTGAGTTCTGTCTCCACTTACTGAGGTTAAGAGGTCACAGAGTCACAGTTTAGGTAAACAACCAAGTCTGACTACTGTTTTCACTTCACTCTGTTTTTTAATTGGACTTCTCCTCCAGTCACAGCACTTAGGAAATGATGACCGATACAGTTTCCCTTTTTTTTTCAATCCATCTGATTCGTCTACCTTTTAGTAAGCTAGTCCAGGAGCAACCTGCTAGCTAACAGCTCTACTGTGGACTCATCTATCCATCAAACATGTCGACCAAATTGAGTTTCCTCAGGCAGTGGCTGTGGTTCGTTTACAGACTGATGCCACACGTCACTACTGTAGTTAACGCATCAACTCCTGTCGACTTTACCATCAGTAGAAAGGGAGGCTGAGGGTCAGGAGGTGATCAGCGCCACAGGGTTGTGGGTTCGGCGTCCTAAGGCTGAGGGTCAGGAGGTGATCAGCGCACTCTTCACCACAGGGTTGTGGGTTCGGCGCCCTATTTTTTTTCTGTTGCCTCTCATGAACATCTCTGCCAGACTGAAGTTAAACCCCTGTGAGATCAGCATGTTCGAGATGTTCCAGTTTGAATAAACAGCGTTGTTTTCGCCTCATCCTCTGAGCTGCTGTGACCGATCGGTTAAGGCGACAAAACCACCAACAAGAACCATGATGAGAATCCCGGTTCTTGTCTTTCACAGCGTTTATCTATCCATCTTCAACCACTTATCCTGTTAGGGATCGTGGGAGAGCTGCAGCTGATCCCGGCTCAGTTCAGGCTTCAGAGGTTCACCCAAGTGTGATTTATCAATTTATTGTATCATTTGTACCACGTTCCATCTGGTTCTGTGTCGACTCCCATTTTTTTTCTGAAGTACGTGAAGAACCGAAAATGGAAGAAGCCTGGTGTTGAACTGACAGACAAAAGTCGTGATTTTTACATATCACAATACGATACAAAACGGCAGTACTTCTCAAATAGTGGGGCGGGTCCCCCTGCTGGGGGGGTGGGGTGGGGGGTGTACTCTGTATCTGATGGACAGTTAACCTTGTTTTTGTTCTGGTCAAAGATGTTGTACATAAACAAAGAACTTATCTAAAACAATATAAAACCCTATTAAATTGAATCCAGCTGCGGTGCTCATCACTGCTGCCCTCTGGAGGTCGTCCCCTGGAACCAAAGAATGTTCTCCCCTAATTTCCCAGACTTATTGTTAACAACTCTTCTGGGACAGAGAGGTAATGATGTAAAAGTTGAATTAAGGGATGAGGGCCAGACTTATTGTTAACAACTCTTCTGGGATGGAGAGGTAATGATGTAAAAGCTGAATAAAGGGATGGGGGTTGGTGGATGGATGGATGGATGGATGGATGGATGGATGGATGGATGGATGATTTCTTTATGACACCTTGGTTCACATGATTTTGCTCATAAAACCCTATTATAAATCCCTGTAGGATTCAGGGCTGTGTTAAACCCTACAGTTTCACCCGCCCATGCAGATGCAGAGTGGGTGAAACAAAGTCAAAGCTTCACCATGGATACGTACAGAAAACAAGACCAGAATAATTCTATTGCAATTTCTTTTCATTTCCTGCTGGATGTTTTGGGTCACTGGGTTAAACGGGTGTCTGGATACTTCAGGGAAATCCGTCACTGTAAGTGGAGGTAATTTTAAAATGAGACCAAAATCCTCCTCATTTACTGCTCACAGTGAAAACCACTCGAACGTTTGTCCTGGTTTCACTTCAGTGGATCTGAACGTCTCACTGAACCAGGGGAACTCCCTCACCGTGGACCAGGAGGATTAACATCTTGTGTGCCAGTGCACGACGCCGCCGACACATGAGCTCACCACTGTTTGATAAATGGGTGGAGACGGAATTCCTGGGCACAAAATGATAAAGTCAGTCGGTCCGAGGTGATGTAAACTTTGGGTGTAGGCGAGCGAGAGCAAAACATGAGCAGTGGGACAAAATTACAATCCCCACAAAAAATTCATGTTCTCAAGCTCTGAACGCTGCAGATGACCGCAAGTTAGGACGCAGTGGTTTCAAAAGTGGGGGGAGGGGCACCCTCGGGGTACGCGTAGCCAAGCGTGACCGACAGCTGGGGCGTCCTGTCACATCCCCTCATGTCAACTGCTGCTAATGAACAGTCGTTACGGCTTCGTGGTTCATTTTTCTGACTGACGTGATGTTCTACTGAGGAAGACGTCGAGCTCACGCGTCTCGGTTGGTTGAAAAAATAAATATCAACGGTAACGAGTTAACACTATGACTGTCACCTGACCTGATAACGTCACAGGTACGGAGCAAAGACAACTACTGAATGTATAATGTTAATATAAAAAGAAATCATACTAATCAGAGGAAGAACACAGTGACACTATGTTGTTTTATCATTGATTTTACTCTCTATAACATGTGTGTGTGTGTGTGTGTGTGGTTGTCGTACCCTGTCCGAAGCGTCCCGTCCTGTGAATCTGTTCGGCTCCGCTGTAGCCCAGCATCCTACACACCACGTCTCCGTCCTTTTTGTCCCAGACGTCGTCACAAACCGTGCCCCAGCGACGCTCGTGGAAAACCTCCACGCGACCTTCATGAGGCCCCGAGCCGTTCACCAGACGCACCAGAGTCTCCTCCACTGCAACACACACCAAAACACACACATTACAAAAAAAAGAGTGTTTACAAGTTGACTAATGCGCGGATAATCAGACTAATACGATTATCCACAAACAAACGGCGGTGAGCGGCCGCTGTGGACGTGAGATAACAGGACAGTTTTTTCTTCAAACCACTGAGGAGCTCTTTGTTTCCTGAAACTGAAGCTGCAGTTCTTTGTTCCTTCTGTGTGAGGCTGAATTCCACTCCAAATTTAGATTTTTGATGTGGTACGAGACAAAAAAAAAAAAAAAGTTTCCATAATTTCTAATCAGGGTCTTCAGTGTAATCTTCGTCTCAGAACATCCTGGACTTTCTCTTCTCCTCAAACATCTCTGTCTGCATCTGTGACTGTTTATGAGGCAACCTTTTTGGACGAAGAAGAATAAATAAAACAGATGATGAATGTTGTTGTTGTTTTTTTATCATTTGCTTCATCAACAGACAATATTGGTGACTTCGTTGTTCTGTCGACCGGTCCATGTGGACAACACGTGGGCATGGGCACAAAATTGGCACAAAGGTTTGTGGGATTTAAAAAAAATAAATACAGGATTTAGTATCAAAGTAATGAGACTAAATCCTAAATAATCATAACTCTGTCTTAGTTGCAAATTAGTCAAAAAAACTGATTTAATTCTAGTTTTAGGCGATGAAACATCAACATTATTTTAGCCGACTAATAAGTAATTAAGTCATTTAATATTTCAACTTTTTAAATTGCTGCAGTTTTAATGAACATTTCAATTATTTATAATATTAATTTATTATTATTATTATTTTATCTTACAGCAAATAAAGTCCATTATTAAAGAGTGGTTTGATTTTCCATCAGGACGTCTGTCTGTGAGGTCATGACAGGAAGTGACCTCGATGTCATTAACTGTATGTTAATTACCCCCCAGGGTGAGACAGTGCTGCGGTGGTGACTGAAGAAACTGAAGACAGAACCAGAGACCAAAGAACTGCAGCTCAGACCATTTACACAACTCAAAATAAACCTCCTGTCAAACACTGAACGTGATACACCTGCTGCAGGACGATGGTGTGTGTGTGTGTGTGTGTGTGTGTGTGTGTACACGCTCTCTGCAGCAGGAACCACCACAAAGTCACGTCTCACAACTTTGGCAGGTGTTTATGTGTCCGACATTTTACAAGTGTGTGAACTGCCTTCACAAGAGCCCTGTAGGTGTGTGTGTGAGTGTGTGTGTGTGTGTGTGTGTGGTCTGGGTGAGAATACCAAACATGCCCCTCTCCCTCTTGCCGCCCTGACTTAAATCCTTTGGCCTTAGATGTTGTTTAAAGTCACATTGTCCCACACTCCAGAGTTTGAACACCAGTGACGACTGTGACGGAGTCGACAGAAAAATCATCTGGAGATATTTAAAAAAAACCACAACAAAACCAACAATGACATGGATCTGAGTTCAGGTTCAGGTTCATAAACTGGGATTTTTATCAGCTGTTTCTGTGACTCATGGTGTTTGTTGTCAGAGAGGCCGGGATTCTGTTCACCGACTCTGGAATAATGTGGGATTTTCCCAGAGTTAAACTCTGTCCTGGAGCGAAGGAAAAATGGATTAAATAATAATAATAACAACAATAATAATAATGATAATAATAATAATAATAGACAACAACCTAAATGATCAAGAAGACAGTTATCTTTTCTACATATATTCTTACTTTTCTATTCCTCGTCCTTGTAAATATCTCCTTTACTTTATTATTATATTCTTGCCATTTTTGCACCGTGGGTCGGAGCGGACTGACCCTTGCCATTTTGCACCGTGGGTCGGAGTGGACTGACCTTTCACTGTGCCACATTCACTGTCCTGTATGTATGACATATTTGTGTAAACATCTTTAGTAAAGATGTTTGAATCGACAACAAGTGTCATATTCAGTTGAGGATCTGATGTGTTGTTTTCTTCTCATCGACTGTTTAAAGCCCACTTTTAAAGTCTAAAACATAATGAAAATACTTTTATATTTTAATGGAAATCAACCAAAGATGTTGAACATGCCAGTGGTGTTCCTGCTCCAGTGACAAAGTAAAAAGAAAAACCAAAGGAGAAATCTAAAAACAGATCTTTATCATCTTCTCAAATCTCCCGGACGCAGACGGAGACAAAAGCTTGATTTTCCCTCTGAAACCCAAAATGACATAAACCGGCACCAGACCTGTTTTCTGTTTCTTATGTAACTGAAGATCAAACTCTGGAGGCTGTACGTGAAGAGAAAAACAGAATCAGTCACTGGATCTCCGTGCTCAGTTCCACCGCAATGTGCAAAAAAAAAAAAAAAAGAGTTCCGAGACTCGAACTGAAGCAACATAGAGGCGACTATGGGACAGAAGAAACTGTTTAGGGAAGATGAAAGTTGGTCTAATGGCTACAGTCTGGACCTGCAGTCCTCCAGTTCTCATTCAGATCCTCATATTTTAGGGTCTTTCAGCAGAGGTCAGATGGCTTTGTTGAAGGAAGTTGACTTTTGGGTGTTAATCCCCAACACATGTGAGAATGAATGTGTGATTTTCCCAGGGAGAACACTTCTGAGGGTTCTCCGCTCTGCTGCGGCGCTGCTTCAGGAACGGACTGTTCCTCCACTTTGAAGTGTCCACACGTTCTGTGACACAAACGTATGAAGGTGCTGAGATTTCTGACAGCACGCCCCATGTGGTCTCACTGTGGAACATCAAACATCAGGGTTCTGCAAATCATCTGTGACGGGTCTGCAGTGAGAAGAATCAGGTGGGATGTTTCTGGGGGTCCTAAATATTTTAGAAGGATTTATTTTTTCTCAAAATAGTTTAACTGATGCAATAAAAATGGACTTTTGACTTGAAATTGTCCAGACTTTCTTCTTCTTCTTCTTCTTCTTCCCTCCAGGGACTTTTGACTTGAAATTGTCCAGACTTTATTCTTCTTCTTCTTCCCTCCAGGGTTCACCACAGTGGATCATCTTCCTCCATCCCACCCTGTCCCCTGCCTCCTAAACTTATACTCCAACCATCTCCAGCTCCTCTGACAAAGGCCAGAGACGAAGTATTTTATGTATTCACTGAAATGAGTAGATGTGATCTAAAATGACAACTCTATTTGCTATTGTATTTTTTTTTTTTCGGACGAAAATGAATGGATGAATGGAATCATTTTGAAGGCCTTAAATGCAGCCGTGACCTAAAGAATCAAATATTTGTATTTCTGTTTTTCTTTCTTTCTTGGCATCAGTTGTAGAAAAATATGGCTTTATATTTGTGGGAAACAAAAAAAACATCCATCACTTCACACATTTATAAATCCTAATTTCAAGGCAGAAGAAGAAAATTGAGGGAATTGTTTTGGTGACTTCAAAGACAAAAAAAAAATTAAAAATGGAAGCAGCCGTTCTTATGTGTGATGGTACAACAAAATGAAGATAAATGTGTGGTTTGGGGGCCACAGGGGTTCATGTTTTTCTTCCTGCCTGACTTCACATTAGTGGTTCTGTACGTGGTCTCAGTTCATGACACACAACGTGTGAGGCTCTGACGAACACCGAGCCATGAGGCCCAGAACCTGGGACATACTGTGAAAGTAGACGCAGTGATCCTCCAGAACAGGACCTGAGGTCCGAGAGCAGGACGTCAGGTGGATCAGAGAAAGTTCTGACTTTCATTAGGTTTCATTATCCTCTGAGAAGAATCCTGGTTTCTTTATTTTGTTGACAATAACATAATACCACCCCGACTGAACGTAAAAAATATTTTTTGTTTTATTTCTTTTTGTTCAATGAAAAAAAATTTCTCACCCGTTTTCTCTCCTCTGTCTCCTCGATCTCCTTTCTCCCCCTTAAATCCTCGTTCTCCTCTGTCACCTGAGAGAAGAGAGAAAATTCACATAAATAAATAAATAAATAAAGTAACAGTGAAATAAAACCACAGTAATGTCTGTTCCAAACATTCATAACATAATTAGAGAGAAGAAAAAAATATTAACCAAAATTATTGGTTAATATTTAACTGACAATGCAGGAAAATAAATAAAAGAATGAAAAAAATGCATTAAACCTTTTTTACTAAGGTCATATGTGTTATTTTATGAATAAAAACGTCAATTGAATTAAATGAGTTTTTGAACTCCAAACATCCACTGATAATACTGTTACTGTTACTGTATGAACCGCTACTCTGAACCAAGACCCGAAATGACCAAAGTCCAGACATGAGATCAGGTGAACGACCTACTGTATATTTACTTCTATTTACCCTGTATTTACATGAGACTAATAATATCCCATAATTCCCAGTTCCAACCATGTGACAGATCAGTTTTCCAGACCAACCCGACCATCAACACTGGACCTTAACCACACGTTTAATGTAGTGAGAACCACAGAGGAGCGGGGAGTCGAACCCCAAACCACAGACAGGTGTAACTTCAATAAAAGAAGAAAAAAAAAACAGAGACAAACGTGTAATTGTTTTATATTCTAGGTATTATAATACTGTAGTACTGCTGTGGTTGAAGTTATATATGGAGTATGAACAGAGTATATTTAAGTATTTGGTGAGGATCAGGCAGTACAACAGCCCAGTAAATCCTTGAGAGTAACAGGTATAACTGCTGTTTTTGGAGACTCAGTCTGGAGTGGTGGATCTGTTAGGTTGCTGGTTAGAAACCACAACTCCTGTAGAATTAGCCTGACTTTGACTTGTTTTTCACATCCACGACTGCAGCCCTGTTGGCAAATGGATGTGTTCACGTATCAACACCCAACCAGTGACGTACCGCTAGAAGTACCGCAAGCTTCACCTCAAGTTTTAACCACAGTTTAAGTAACGTAGTAACAAAAATCAAAACACTATAATAATAAACTGGGAAAAAAGAGAGAGACGGATGGATGCAGACTGGACCGACGCTAGCTGCCTACACACCCAGTTAGGACAGAAAAAAAATACATTAAATTAGACTGAAGTCAACTACAATACAGACAGTATATTCCTACCTCGCAAATATATATGGAAATGTATTGGGCTGTGAAAAATAACACGTGGACCAGTCAACACACAAGTTGTCATTTATATATTTATATATGTATATATATGTATATTATACATATATGATCATATATGTAATTATACTTATAGATATACATGTATTTATACATATATAACCATATATGTAATTATACATATAAATATATATATGTGAACATAAATATATGCATATATATTTATATATATACTTCGACATATCTAAGTATATATGTACCTATACATATATTATCATACATGTGAACATAAATATATGCATATATATTTATATATGTGAAACACAAAAGGACACACCTCCTTTCAGACAACCAATCACAGAGCAGAATATCTGTCTAATACTGTGTCAAAGCTCTTAAACGTCGTGATGAAAACCGTCCACCGTCCACAGTAGGAACTCCTTACATGTGTGTGTTTTACTCAAAGCCAAACTCCAATAACTGATCTCTGCTCCGTCTCTTCAGCCATAAAACGTAACCACCAGTTTCCTCTCCCCACGGCTCACGGTTCACAGCCGTGAGCCTGTGAAGTCCTCACCCAAACCCAGATGGTGGCGTGTTAACTATCAAACACTAAACGTGAAGATGTTTCTTGTCTTGAGCTGGTCTTCATTTTTATTTACAAAAAATAAATAAATAAAAACACTCACACTACAGTCTTCAGTCCTAGTTCTGGTTACTGTCGATGTCGTCAACCTGTCAGTCAGAGTCTGAGGTCGAGTCATGGCTTTTGTGGTTGATGGTTATGAAACAAACCAGTGTTGACGTGTCAGAGACTGAACAGAGGGAAAAAAAAAGTTCTGAACACGTCAATACATATTATTGATGTTTGGTGTGTTACTGTACACAACCACAAATAATGTCTCTGTGTGTGTGTGTGTGTGCAGCAGATGATGACTTGGTTGATGTTCTCCAGAGTTCTACATATAACCAGTGAACTACTGCAGCAATGAATTATGGGTCTTCAGTGACCCATTTATAAAATCCAGCGAAAGTGGGCTCCATCTAATCCAACGTTAAACCAAATATATTCCTCTGTTGTCAAATGATAGTTGTTGATTTTTTTTTTTTAATTTTCATTATTATTTTACATGATTTTGTGGGTGATTTTGCTTAAAAAACTTAAACTTAAAACAGTGTAAACTCAAACTCTTTGAGACTTTGTGTAAATTCCACCGAGAGTGGATTTAAACAGAACTCACAGCTGTTTCTGTGGAACAAATATAAGAATATTTGTTCAGTTTCAGCTTCCACGGCCAAACTCTCTCTCTCTCTCTCTCTCCCTCTCTCTCTCCCTCGTCTCTTGTTCTCTCACACGAGGAAGCGGCAGCACCTGTTAGTGATGTCATAACTGTGAAAGACTCGGACGTGGGGGAGACTTTGGCGAGACGGAGTGGACATGACGGAGTGTCCTGCAGCCTCGTGAGGTCTGAGTCCCAGAGTGAGAGGCAGGTTATCGTTACGTTACGTTACTGTCAGATGTGACGGGTTAACGTCTCACACACTGTTACACGTCGACGCCATTGGCTGCTGGGACACAGTTAATACCCAGTAGTAAATAACAGCAAATAAACTGTAAACTGCCCACTGTGTACTGTGTACTGTAAACATGTACTGTGTACTGTGTACTGTGTACTGTACCTCTGGGTCCAACAGGTCCAGTGTCTCCCTTTTCTCCCTGGAGACCTTCCACGCCCGGCGACCCTTTGGCACCGCGGACGCCCTGCAGGCCTTTCTCTCCGATCAGTCCTGTGATGAAGAGACACACAGAAGGACAGATTTGAGGACGTGGACCAGCACTGAGGAGACCGGTTACCGTCGGTGATGATGATGAACCACAATAGAGATAGAGAAGAAGGTGGTGAGATCTGAGATGACTGAGGTTTCATGGGGGAGTGAGCAGGACATTGGGACAACAAAGGAGAGGATAGGACGGGTGAGTTTGTTTGGACGTGCTGAAGAGGAACCGTAGGAGATGGAGCACGTCTCTGGAGGGTTCCTACTGATTTTACAGTAGGAGATGGAGCACGTCTCTGGAGGGATTTTACGAAGAACTGGACGGGCTCGGTCCCTTGAACCCATCATCCGAGAGGCCCAGAGATGGAACTACCGTGAGGAGGGAGAAGCCCAGAGAAGATCCCTGGATACAGTGATGGAAGACCTGAACTTGTTCCAGATACTGCAGATGATCTGTTGTGGTGGAAACTGAGAAGATCTGATGCAGACAGAGTTCACGGCTAGGAGATCCTTAAAGGCTCCGCGTCTACATCCAGTTCTGGCTGAAGCTGAAGTTCTGTTTTATCTACATCCAAGAAGAATTTGCAGGAGAAATCACGTTGTGCTTTTGTAATCTGAGAAAGAATTAGCGTTAGTTCATCAGAGTTACTGATGACCACATCATCTCTGCTTATTAAAAATGAAGAACCAGAACCAGAACCAGAACACGTTGGCACCACAACACAGCCTGTGTTTACAACAGGCACAACTAGAGGTCTTAGAAATTAATGGAAGGCAGAGATATTGATTGCACTGTTGTCAACCATGACTGCAGTCTAAACTGCTCTGATTGGACTGAAAGGCATCGCCGCCAAGAGCTGAGAGCAAACCGATGACGGCTGCAGTCAGGCTTCGCCTCAGTTTTCACGTGTCTCCGCTGCTAATTCCCTTCTCAGAATCCCATCAGGACGACGTGATCAATCGTCACTTGGAGTCGCTGCAGAAATGTTCTTCTGCGCACCACGGCGGGACGTGACTTATGACGGTTTGACAGGTCCAGAGGGATTTTCAGAGTCTGGATGTGATCGTCTGGATTAATCACAGATGAGAAGTAGCAAAAAGTAGAATGTGAGAAAACATTAACGCAGACTGAAGTGTAGCACCACTTGTTTTCATGTCAATCATGTTCAAATTTACATAAAGTCTTGTTTTCATCACTCTCTAATTGGGAGACTACTGTGGATAACACATCGGCCCAAACTGTGAGAAAGGAATGTGACTAAAAAGGTGAACTTGAACTTGTACAAATATAATGATAATATCAATAAATTATATAATTTGGCGGGCCGGATCTGGCCCCCGGGCCTTAGTTTGCCCATGCCTGCTCTGGTCTCTATAACAAAACAAGCATGATATTTATGACATGAAAGACTTAAGACATTAACACGACTAAAGACAGGATACGCAAGAATGAACTGTTTTTAACCTGCTCTGTTCCAACGTTAGCTAAAAATAAATACTAAAACTACTACAAAAAAAAAAAGACTTAGAGGAGTTTCTATACATATATACACATATATCTATAAATATATAGAGAGTAAGTTGAAGGACATGCACTGATGGACTGCATGTTGACGATGTTTTTGCCCAACTTCAGACAGGTTTCCATTTACTTTCCTTAATAATAAGACTTTGTTTTCCATTTTACCTGACAGTTAATACATTTGGAAATACAGTATAAAGCTGCAGAGGGTGGGAGCGGGGGTGGG